AGCTGTATGAAAAAAAATTTGAAAAATGATTATTTCTGATCACAGCGCCTATTTCAAAACTCCAAATCACTAAAGCCAAGAGCATACTGGACAAAAATAAAAAACAACTTCATTGAAAATTCTGATCTGAATAAATAATTTTGATGTCTTAAGTCTTCAGCCGACATCTATGACCAGCTATACAAAATCTAGTTGAGAAAAAATTGTTGTTGTTAAAGGAGCCATTTTGTTTCTTTAGCTACTTGCAATTTGCAAAGAAAAAAAAAAAAGTGATATTGATATTTTATTGAATGAATTATTCGGGCTACTGTCCACATCTTTGTCATCATATTTATTCGGCTGTTGTACGCTCTGGCCTTCTTCAGGAGGTTGGAATGTCAAACTGAACCCTTTATTTTGCTGACTGGGGTAGACTGTTCTAGTTCCACGTGCCATGTTTAATGGATGTCAGTTATCAGTTATCTCCTGTTAATTCCCCTCTCCAAGTTCTCCACTGCCTTAACCGGGTATTGAACTCACACTCTTTGGATCCTGTCACTGGATCTAACCAATTCCTTTATCCACTGTGGCATGTGTCCTCAAGGACACATGGCACAGTGAATAAAGACATAGCACATGGAACTAGAACAGTCTACCCCAGTGAGCGAAATAAAGGGTTCAGTTCGACATTCCAACCACTTGAAAAAGGCCAGAGCGTGCAATGGGTGAAACATTGTAATAAATATGGCGACAAAGATGAGGACAATAGTCCAAATAATGTAAATAGTGTCCATAATACAAAATCTCAGAAATTTAGACAGATACTGAAAAGTAAAGACCTATGTACATCAAATTGTCATTAAGTGGCAGCAGAAGACTAACCGTTGAACTTTTAAAAGGTAAGCTTAAATATTAATGCAATACTTAAATGCAGCGATCAGTTTGGAGTTCTATAGTTCCTTGTTGCCTATAGCCTCTACTGCTCCCTACCTATTATAATGAAGACCCAATCAAGAGCCCTCCACAAGAAATAGCTTAAATGTCTGGGCAACTTTTAGGCTAGTATCTAATATTAATGTAGGACAGCTTTTAAGCTAGTGCATAATATTGTCTAATTGTGACAATCAGAAACTGTAAAGAAGAGTAAAGTATAATAAAGTTTTTGTTTTTCTTGGTTAAATGTTAGTGTAATTTTTACAACTTATGAGAAGGATACTGAATTAAATTCCTACATTGAATTCTGATAAGCACATTTCCTTTCTAAAGGAGAAAAAAAACCCTTGCCTCTGCTAACAAATTTATGTTTTCTTAACACTTTTCTGATGTTTTCAATGACATTTGTGATAAAAAGTAAAAACCTTATGATATTTGGATATTACTTTTTATGAAAAATATAGTTTATCATAATGTCTAACATTACTCAGTAGGGAAAATTAAAACAATCTTGATTTTTTTTTTGTTTTTTTAAGGGGAGGGTGATTTTAAAAGTATTTTTGAAAAAAAAAATGTGCTGAAATTAGATATGACAAAAAAGTTTAGAAGGTTAAAATAATGAAGAATATCAATAATTTTTATTATAAAATAATAATATTAAAAATAGTTTAAGATATTGTTTCAACAAGAGGATAGTGTTTAATGAATGCAATCAACAACCTCATTGGGATTATTATGTGACAATAAAAGTCAAAAGGTGCGGAATAACAGAACAGATAAATTATAATATGTTTATATGTCAGAAATACTTTTACAATAGTAAAGGACTCGTGAAATTAGAGATATTAGTGGTTGTCATGGAAAAGAAGAGCAGAAGCCAAAAGTGATATTACATGCACTCAGGAACCACAAATAACGTTGGATGGTATAAGAGTTCTAAGAATGAAAAAGATGTCATGGCATGATATTAAAAAGTCTAAGATTGCAAAACATACCTTAATGTAAATGGACATTAAATCATGCATGTGTAGAGTGAGCGATCTTGATAACATTATTGTAGAATGACCAACATATACATTTAGCTTTTTTTGTTGGAGATGCAATCTCCCAAGGGACATTTAAATTGATATATGGTGTTGGTTTTCTGCAATACACCAATTGGTGGGGAGAAGTTATTACAGATGATAAAGTTATTTGTATTAAATTAAGTTATTTGTATAGTATATAATTAATTTTATTTTTTTTACTGGGATCTCTGGGGATATATTAGTACTTATGAGGTTTTTAAGATTTTTTCATCTTGTCTATATTTAGAATGCATCTGATTACGATATAAAAGATTAACATGTTTAGATTTGAGGACATATTATGCTCTATTTGATTTATATTAAGAATTGTAATAGATTGTCTTATTTGTTCATGAATGTAGTTAAGAAAGTAATTATTAATAAGAGTTTAATTTTTTCTAGTTCAGTGTGGAAAATTTTTTCTGTAGATGAGTTAACTTTAGCGTGGTTTATTAAATTTTGTATAATACCTATTTTGTCGGTATTTAGGACATTCACTCTTAAACTCATGCACTCTTAATTATATTCTAGTAGGTTTTTTATATGGAGAGGTAGTGAATGTATTATTATAGCTGTCTATCAATATATCAAGAAAAGGAATTTATTATTGTTAATTTGTGAATTTAAGGACTTTTGTTTTTTTAATTCTTGTTGTAGTTCATGTATTTCATCAGGTTTTTTTAATAAGATGAGGATATCGTCAACATATATTAGGCAGATGGAAGATTTTTTGTTTTTTTTTAAATTACTAAAATTATTTTCAAGGTTAGCCATATAAATGTTACTAAAAGTTGGACCTAGAACTGAACCCATGAAAACATCACCACATTGTACATATATATCATTTTTGTGGTCAAAGAATGGAACTTCAATAGCACAAGTTAAAATCTATTTTAGACACCACACAACTATTTGTCTTGGCCATCATAACCCTGAAGAAGATATTGGAATATATCGAAAGTACTCAGAAAAATAAAAATAAATAAATACAACTATGGTACCATCCTTGCTCACTTTAATCATTAAACAAGAAAGCTTATATGTGATTACAAAAGGATATTATTGAAAATAAACAAACATGTCTAAGCCATTTAATTAGACATATATATATATATATATATATATATATATATATATATATATATATATATATATATATATGTGGTACTTGGAAAGTGCTCAATATCAATGATAGAGCTAACAAACTCATATCAATTCAACTATATATATGTGTGTGTGTGTGGCCTCCTTTGTAAATCACTAGCGGGTCTTAAATGCCACTTAAGATTATTGCACAAACTTTCATAACTGAATTAATAAGCTGTCAGATCCTCATACGCCAAAACCAATGGGAGAGTCCATTTTATATATATAGTTTGACAAAATAATTCCATTTGTTTGTGTGTGGAATGTAACTTTTTCCATATTTTTAAAGTTCTTATTTTAAAAATAAAGGTTCAGAGTGCTCGAACTTAATTTAGGAGCTGGTATATATGTGTGCAGGTATGTAGAAAAATAGGAAAGAACACGTTAGGTAAATAATCCAGGGTTCTTTAGTATTTTTGTTTTTATTTTTAAAAAAACAGTGCTCCATACAGAAGTAGAGCTTAGATTATAATTTTTTTTTTAAAAATATGATTTCTTCGGTACATAAGAGTTCTCATGTTTCAAAAACGAGAGCCGAAACCATCAATATAATTATTAAAATTAAATTGAATTAAAGTAACAAGCCCTATTTCATCCTCAAGCGAAAATTTAGGAAAAACCAATTTTGAAATTTACGTATCGTTATAAGCGTGTTCATTTGTTACTATGGAAACGGCTGGGGAGACCATTTTTATCCACATATCAGTCATCAGTCACCTTCAGGGAGAGGTCAAACTGAGGTAGGGTGGGGTGTCTATTTCAAAGCAAATTATGTATTTTTTGTATGTACATCGTCTGTTCATTCACAGAGAAAGATAGGTTTTGGCACCATTGTATGTTGTTAAGTGTCTGGATAATTTTGTTTATTTTATTTGTTTATTTATTTATTTTCAATGGGCTGTTTCATATATAAACACATTGCACTGAGCTACAATTTGTTTTTTTGAAGACTTCATAAAGGATTTTTCCCTTTAATGATTGGGTTGAGCTTTTTAGCCTTTTATTAAACTATGAGATTTGACTTTTTTTATGCTAATTATTTAATGCGAAATTTTGTTGATGTCGGCAAAAAGCCGTTAATTCATGTCTATGGTTTAATAAATTTTATACCAATGCACTATCTCATCCATTGAGAGTCCTAACACTGATAGGATATACATTGGGTCAACGAAGAATGAATTTAGAATTAGGTATAAAATAAAAAGCATAAAAGCTTCTTCAATAATATCGGAAGTAGTAATCAGACATTTCTATCCAAATATTTTTGGCATTTAAAAGAAATGAATAAAACACCAAAAGTAAAATGGAAAATAATAAATAGAACAAGAACTTGTAAAACCTGGGATGACCCATGACCTTTATGCCTACATGAAAAACTACACATAATTAAGTTTCTAAATAATGAAAATTTATTAAACCATAGACACGAGTTAACGGCTTTTTGTCGACATCAACAAAAAAAAATAGAGTAAAAGTGAAAAACCAATAAGGAGTGAGTGTAAAGTAAAAACAAACAAAAAGAACAAATGACCATGACATCCTACACATAATCATATATGTGAAGATGGGCGAAAACACACACTCTACAGAAAAACAAAACGAAAAATTCCACCAATGAAAAGTGTATGTAAAAAGAAAAATTAAGAAGTATAAAGAGTCAACTGACGAGTGGATGGAGTGATTCCCAGAGGGTTCGTTTATGAAATTCTGGAGTCAGGATGCTGAAAGTAGCATCAATCAACTAAGTGACAAACCTTTTACTTGTAATTATATATATATATATATATATATATATATATATATATATATATATATTATATTAGAGAGAGAGAGGTGATAAGGAGCTAGAAATGATCATTTACTGATCATACTTACCTGCTACAGCATTTATAAATTCAGGGAATGCTTCATGGTCATATGATCCTTCACATAAAAGTTCACAGTTATCAACTTCTTTGATGAAATCATTAATTGCAGGTTCAATAGTGTCAATTACTCCTTGCCAGTTTTCCATCATTTGGTATTCCTGAGCTTTTATAAACAGTGACTGCAAAGAGAATGAAAAAAAAAATTTCAGAAAAGATAAAGAAAAATACTTCCCTCATTAAATTTTATAAAATAAATACAAGTGTATAATTCCTTCTATGAAAATGAAAATGAAAAAAAAAAATACTGGGAAGCAGCTTGCACATAAGAAAAATTTGTGATAAAATGTCCCTTCTGTGTTGATCATAACTGGTTTATTTGTCATAGACAAGATCGTAAAAGAAAATATCTTGGACTAGTTATTTGTGTTGTATTAGCATTTGGGGTGTTATACCACTTTGCCTGCTAAAATGCCCACTAGATGACATGGCTGTTAGCGATATAAAAGGAAAGACATAAGCTCTCTCTTCCTCCTCTCTTTTTAGAATGTAGTAAGTACAGGATGTGTTTCATTACCTCTGAGGAAATTTCTTTCCCTGGATGGGTGGCCAACTCCTAAATTTCAAATCCAGTCATGTGACACACACACTTTCTAACAGCAAAGTCTATAAATATTTTTCTTCCTTTTTTAATTATACATGTACACGCAAACATATTTTCTTTCATTCTTAATTTATGTTATTCTTCATATAAATACATATACGTATGTAAAATTCTTCCATGTGTTGAAATTTGTTTCTTTTCCAATTTCTCTACCCCTTCATCACAGTTCTCCCAAACTAGTGGCTCCCTACATGATTTGATGCTACAATTTGTATTGGACAAAGATTTTCAAAAAAAAAAAAAAAAAAAAACAATTAAAAAAAGGTGTATATCAATCTCAGTAACCTACAAGGAATTCAAAACTAAACCCTTTATTTAATCTATGGGAGTAGACTCAACATTCCACTGACCATGTCTAGGGATATCTCATCTACTTGTTTTTAGTCAAAAGTGCATGCATATTTATATTTTCATTTCATTCTGTTGTTTTGTTTTCATTTGACTTAGTTTGATTTTTGCTTTCTTTTATTAAAAAAAAACAAAATCATATCTAATAGTGATACTAATTTATTATTACTTGGAATCACAAACTTATTTCCATGTACATTTTATTTATTCATATGCAGTCTATTTCACAAGAAATACATGTCTATATTTTATAAACAATAGTCACAATAGGGAAGGGACACAGAACTACAATCCAACAGGTCTTACTATATAGTTTCCTTCTCATAAATATATATGAAATCTAAACATTTATTTTTTGCATATGCCAAACGGGTCAATGAGAGAAAAAAAGATTTCATAGAAAGGTCAATGGTTTAATAAGTTTGGGAGGTTGTGCAAGAATAATGACATGACAAGTCTTATTCCCTTCTGAAGTAAATTATTTCTTCTGAATTTCTATTTTAATTTGAACAAGAAGAATCTCTAAACATACTGATACTCTAAGGTAGTCAATGATAGAATAATTGAATAAAACCAGAATCATATGATAGTGGCAGTAATCTCAGTGGGGCGGGAGGAGAATGCTAACTTAATCTAAGGGGACTTGTAGCCTAAACAATATATCATCTGGCAATATTCTGAGGAAGTTCAAGTCTTACTTGAAGCTATATTGTTTTCAAGTACTACAATTCTAAAACTGAAAAGTAGTTTGACTAACAAAGCAACAAATTTATAAAGAATCCATTAAAAAAAAAAAAAAAAAAGACTTAAATATTTAATCTGAAAGCTACTTTCAGTTTTAGTTTCTAAGTCGACTTAACATTGAAGGCCAAAGATCACAAACAGATCAAGAGTCAAAAGCATACCTAACATTCATTATCTTTTGTGATAATGTATATCTAATGATTTTGGCCTTGTTCCAAAAAATTGATCAGACTAGATTATATGCTCTCTCCAAGAAAACTCAGCATAGTCTGCAAAAAGGATTGGCTAGTTCCCCTAGCAGATGGGTGTGGTCAGATCTGAGTAGTCAGGCATTATTTATCTGAGATTATATTTATAGCATGCAGGAACTTTTAGCAATTGGCTTTTTTAAAAGAATTCTTTTCAACCAGAAAAGGGCAAGACATGTCATTCACTGTTCTCCTGCTTTACCCCAAAGCTATCGCTACAGTTGCAATATCTGCTTATGCATTCTTAATATAATATACATTATATCGGCCAGAGAGTTGGATTTATTTAAACACTTATGTTGATCTTGTTGGGATGACCTCCACTTTCTTTGCCAGGACACCTGCTAGTTAATTGTTCTATTCAGACATAGAGAAAAAAAAAAAAAAAAGACATGAACACTTTTTTTTTTTGCTCCACAATGTAACAACAACATCAGGATTTGTCTTCTCCATAAATATAATTTTCCTTCTCTTCTTTTGTGAAGTATATTCTTTATATATAAAAAAATCAAGGTTAAAAAAAAAACAAGAAGGATTTTATTGTTATTTAGTGAAATAATAAAACAATATAGGCAAAACATTATAGAAAAACTGTCAAATGGACACACATGTTCTAGATGCAAGCTACAAGATGCACATATGCATCTTGTGGTAGTAAATGTGTTAAGCAGCAAGAATGAAATAACTTTTGCAGAGTACAAAATCCTGCTCAAGATATTTTCTTTTTAATCTATTCTACTCACTTGATATCTGTAGACGACTAAACAATGTGAATGTTGCAATTAAAAAGGAACAGTAAGATGCAAGATAAAATAGTCAAAATTAATTATAAAAAGGCTTCTTCTCAGAATTTGTCTAAAGAAATTTTTCACAAATTACCCCTCAGATCAACTTCTCTGACTGTTAAATCAGTGATTTAATGGCAGAGTGGATCAGAAATATAGAAGTAGACTTTGAGATTATGTTTCAGCAAATCTATCAGTGACACTGGATGTAAGCTCAAGTTACATCAAAGGTTTCTTTATTTAAGATGATCTGAGCATCATAACATACGACTATAACAAGATGATCTGAGCATCATAACATACATCAACAATTATAAGATGAACTGGCCCAGAATTAATAAGAGAAGATATATTTCTAATTAAACAATTTGAATTGAATGATAATATCATTGAAGATTTTAAAACCAAGTGTTATTGCTATGTGATATTTCTACTGCTCAACATTGACTTTGTTAAAACAGCAGATTGATCTTTTTAGTCAAGTATCTGTACTTATAAAACAATGTACTCCAACAATTGATATAGAAACAATATCTGAACTAAAATTAAGTCCTCATTGTTGTCCTTTAATTCTAAAATATATACCATCATAAGACAGAACTTCAGACTAACTTTTCAAATGTAGACAAGAAGAAAAAAATAAAAGGCGTTTCCTAAGTGACTATCACTAGTTACTTCTTAAAACCTTTTTACCACTTTCTCTTGAACTTGTTTAAAACTATATTCATAAATTTGTATTGATTTCACTATTGAAGAAAACAGTGCAATGAGACAGAAGTAAATGGAAAATGACTGACAGCATACAGACAAACAATGCATTGCCTATCTATGAAAAGGGCTTGAGTCCCAGACATAGTAGCATATTTACATCCCACTCCCAAACAGCTGACTACTCCAAAAAGCAATGTTTTTTTCTACCTCTATATTGATATATACGAAGAGTAAATTAATCTTGCAGAAAGTAAGATAGAGAAACGAGAGTGGGATGATGGTGTTGGGTCAAACTTCCCAGATGCAAAAGTTTGTCAGGATTTGAAAAGTTGGTATTAAAATATTGGTTTTAACGAAAGCACGAGTGAGAAAATGAATATCTGTGCAAGAATACAGACCTTAGGTTAGTGTTTCTCAAACACTATAGCTACCAACAGTGTTCTTCATTGAACAGCATTTCTTAACTGGACTTTATCCCCTAAATTTTATTTTAATAAATACTTGTATTTTTGTATGTTCCTTGAAGAAAATGAAAGTCACAATTTCATGTAAATATTTCACATTTTTATCACAGTAGATCAGTCATGTAAAACTGCAATGCCAGGAGTGAGTAAGCAATTGCATCAAACTTCAACAACCTTAGCATATAATTATTGGATAAGATCAATGGAATATGTAAGGATTTATAAAAAACATATATTGATGCTATATTATTCACAACTATTTTCCTGTTGCAAAATTTCCATGTCACATTATATTCCCAAATTATTTTTAATTTATCTTTAATTATACTTTTTATTTTTTCCAATCCATTTTGTGATATTCATTTGGGAACTATTGGATTTTATTTCAACTTGAAAACAAGCTTCAGACACTGACGAGATTTATGCAATTATGTCATTTACAAATTATACGAATAGTTTATTTGAGAGTATTTTAATTAAAAAAAAACAAAAAAAACATAATTGCTTCTTTTCTTTCTAATTTTCTTTTCTATGTACCTAAACAAAACCTTCTAGAATATCTATGTATTTTACATTAGATGTTATATTAAAAATGTGCTTTTAAAACAGGGGATGTGCAGTTAATATGACAGTTATTCACATGGAAAGTGCAAATGACAAGCAAAGTTCAAATTCCAGTCAAATCTCTTCTGTTCACATTTGCATGAATGCCTTTGAGAAAGGGCATGAATTCAGTTCTTCTCCCCCAGCTATAGGTTAATTAGCAAATAACAGGGCTTTCTAGCCTTGGGTGGCAACCAGTCAAGAAGGAAAGCTTTTAATTCTAAACTATGAAAAAGGCAACAGGAAACATGCAACTATTTTTCTCAAAAATACATGGCAATTCACAGATAATAAAGAAAAAGAATCTGTGGAGAGTCATGATTACCTATGTCCTGAGAGGATATCAGAAAAAAAATCATAGCAAGTTTCTAGCTCCAATCCCTGATAACATCCCTTCATCTGAAATTAAACCTTAATACAACAAATCTTTCATAAGAATTATTAAAAAATAAAAATTAGTTTGTTAAAGTTGCTATTATTATCAGAATATATTTTGATTTCACAAAATACTTTTGTAGAAAAAAAATATATATATATTAGGTTGATAAAAAAGTTGTTTTGTTGTCAGTTATTAGGAATGTT